CTGGCTTCTTGCTGTCTTCAGGGTAAAGTTCACACTGGAGAACCTTCATAACCCGGTCAGCGAGTGCTCACCTCTTTGTTTTCTGGCCTCACTTTAATCACCACCCAAACGCTCACTAACCATAGTGCTAGCCTACACTTCCAGGCTTCTGCACATTGTCTCGCCTGCCAAGAATACTAACTCCTGACCCTCCATAGTTTACTTTTTCTGATAAGCCTTTCCTGACCTCCTAAAACTAGGCCATATACCCTCCCTGAGCTCCCACAACCCCCAGTACTAGTCTCTGCTGTAGCATTTCTTTCGGTCTGTTGTTTGGCCTGTTTACTAGTATCTGCGCCATCACAGATTTTAGCTGCTCAAGAACAAGGACCTTGTTCTGTATCAACCTTTGTCTGTATCACAATCTTTCATACCTATGTATAAAAATTCTGTATTGCTTTTACTTTATTAAGTATAATTCGGAGTTTTATAACCAGATTGTACATTTTTTGAAGATAGCAAATACACCCAGTATTTCTAAGTTACAGGTTACTAACCTCAAAACTGACACAGCTACCATCTATTCAGGACTCAGTGAATGTGACTACCCAATACTGTAAGTAGTTTTTTCTCTCTCCCTCCCTATGAGGAAGCTGAGTCATAGAGTTCAACAGCTTCCCTAAAATGACATCACTAGTAAGTCATAGAGTTTAACAGCTTCCCTAAAGTGACGTCACTAGTTAGTGACAGATTTGGGATTTGAATCCTGACATTGGTGCCTGTGCTCTTTATTAAAAAGATTTTATTTATTTTTTAGAGAATGAGGAAGAAAGGGAGGAAGAGAGGGAGAGAAACATCCATGTGCCATGTGCTGAAGAAACAGAAACTGGTGGCCTCTTGAACGCCCCCAGCAGGGGACCTGTCCCTGCAACCCAGGCTGTACCCTGATGGGGAATCAAACTGGCGACTTTTCGGTTTGCAGGAAAGTGCTCAACCCACTGAGCCACACCGGTCAGGGTGGTGCCTCTATTCTTAACCACTGCAGTAATGGGCTACGGAAACTTAGAATTATGGATGCCAAGTAATTGACCTAAGATCACTCTGCAGGGCTGAGACTGGAACCCAAGCCTTTCCAAAGCCGACACTCTTACTTGCTGGACATACCACTTCTCTTGCTTTAAAGGTCAGTGCTAAAGCTCATGTTGGGTTATTGATGAATTTTCAAAGCTGCAGATCCACTCTGCCAAGTTTGGAGAGTATTAGAATCCCTTCCAAAAGAGGCACAGTGGTAGCTTACTGGGTTAATCTACCTTAAAATAACGACAGCCGAGTTTTACAAACCAATTAAGTTTGTAATCTCATGTTCTCCCAGTGACACTGAAGCCTGTATTTTCCTCAATGCAAAAGCCATGTTTTCTAAAGATGCTACAGTCGAAATCCACTCTCATTCAGAAATTCCCACTTCCCTTCCCCCCCCCAAACCAGCGATGCAATGTTCTCAAGTTCTCTGCTTTTGTGGCACCTCGGTTCCCCAGTGCAGAATGTCTGTTTCTGAAAGTAACCTGTGTTTTATGTTTACCCTTAAAAAATCACTGCTCTCCATAGACTTATTACACTCTTTCTCCTTATGCAGTACTCTGCTCTTCCCCTTTATTTCAAACCTTTATTAAACACTTAACTAGGTACCAAAATGGAAATAACCTAATTCACTGAAGGCCATACTTTCAAAGAAATGGCCTTGGATATATATGTATGATTTTATTTATTTACTTTTAGAGGGGAAGGGAAGGAGAGAGGGAGAGAAATATCAATGCATGGTTGCCTCTTGGCCATGCCCTGCTGGGAACTGGCCTGCAACCCAGGCATGTGCCCTGACTGGGAATCGAACTGTGGTGGTTTGGTTCCCAGGCCCATGCTCAATCCACTGAGCCGCACCAGCCAGGGCGAGTTTAGATGTTTTCACTGCAATGTTATTTCCTTAATAAGCTTCCTAATAAAATCATCCCCTGGTCAGTTTGCAATTATTCACCAAAATGTCTTTCAGCGAAAGCTCGGTGGCTCCTTGTAGAGCACACGATGTGAAGAGAACAGCTGGGGCCAACTCATTAGCTCTCACTCCAAAGATTTTTGCCAACACCTTGGCCCTCTTTTGCTGACAAAAAAAAAAAAAGGATTCTTAAGCCTTTTAACAGCTTTATAGCTTCCTCCTCAGAACTCTTCCACTATGTCATCCAAACGAACTGTCCATCCTTCTTGGGAAACGCCCCGGAGGCTGCTTCCCGAGTTAACGTATGGCTTTGTCTCTGGATTAGCACTGGTTAATTTGAAACCCACAGCCAAACACCCCTGAAATAGTCAGCAAAATGAGTATCCCACTCCACAGCATTGTCTTCGGGAATATAAACCACCCCAAATCAGTATCTGACTAATGATATTATTGTCGTAGTAATATTTTTAGAAGAAATCTGAAGTTTGGAGTAGCCGTAGGCGATAAAATATGGCCGTATCGGACCAACGTATGAACCAAAGTTCAGACCTGAGTCATGAGGAAAAGACCAAAATGTGGTCCGTGATGGTGACAGCCACGTCTCTGAACTAAATCCGATTTCCCTGAGGAACGAAGGTACCGAACCTGTTGGAATATGCCTACGAAGGACTAAGTGACAAGTTCATTGTTCTTGAAAAAAATCAAATCACACTGATAAATGTACTACTTACAGGAGAGAAAAAGCAGAGATGACTAAACTGAGAAAAAAATCTTCTTTAGCCTCTATCTTTTCTAGGCAACGCAGCTCCTGATATGACACACGGCACAAAACGTGGCTTTGCTATACATCCAGGTGTGTAGGTTAGAGAGGACAGCAGTTTCTTAAATAGAAAAATTAAATGATAGCAACAGGTAAAGAAGCTTTGGGTTTCGGATGAAGAAAAACCGGTGCCCCGACATGGGCACGGGGGATAATGGTGCAAGTGCTGGCCTGTGAACAGCCTGTCTCTAACATATTCAGAGGAAAAAGGATTATAATCTAGCAGACTAGTTCTTCACAGTCTAAGGTGGAGCATTTTGCCAGTTACTGAGCACTCACTTAGGCGCTGAGGGATCAATTCAAAAGAACCACCCGCTACTCTGAAATTAAAACATGTTCCGTCATTTCCTGAAGCCCATATATTTAAGGTAGTGAAACGAAATAACATCATATATCTTTTGCAGTGGTGTTGGAGCATTTAGGGACTGAAAGGAAAATTGTGCCAAGAAGAAACCCTCTCTCCTCGGCCTTTGTCTATTGAAATGTCCTACCGATTCCCCGAAAAGAGGGTCAGATTTCTTCAGCAAGTGAAACACCGCCCCATTACTCCCTCCCTTACTATGTTTCAATTTTGTCACTGCACTTAAAGACCACCTGACGTGTTATATATTTATCAGTTCTTTCCCAAACCAGAATATCAGTTGCATGAGGGTGGATTATTTTAAATATTTTGTTCACTGATATATTCTCAGTATCTAAAACTATCTCTGGCGTGTAGTAGGCACACAGCACATTTGTAAATTTAATAAGGGTTTAAAAAGACCCCTGAATATTGTTGGAATTGTTCAATTCTAAAATTTTAGTCTATCTGTGTATATGGTTGAGAAAAGGTAAATGTACAGGCTCTGTGTGTGATTCCTAGTATAGACCAAGTCAGGAGTCAGAGGACCAGAAACCTGAGATAGGAGAGTGATTGCAAAAACAAAGCAATGTATCTTATTAAAAGGACCGAAGGAAGCAAACACTGTCACGTCAGCAGACCTATCTTAAGAGTAAACTGTATGTCTCTCTCCGTCCTTTCGGCGTCTGAAACCTGGCTATAATGAATTCGAACTCACTTCGGATTAGTTGGATGGACATTAGCTTCCTTCCTTCATAAAACTTTCAAAATGTTTGAAGAAGTGTTTTCCCACTCTCTAAATGACTGCCTGTGAGGTGAAAGCCCTCAGATGGAATCAGTCTCTCATTTCTATTTTCAGAATTGCCTGAGTCACAAGGTAGTCTTGGCAAATCACTCTGTTCTCTCTCTCTCTCTCTCAGTTCACTGGAGTGGCCTGGGAACACAAACCGTCAGCCAAACAGGAAGAGGGCCCTTTGCCTAACTCCCAATACAAAGCCGTATGGATGTGGTGAGGTTTAATGATGGATATAAATCGCTGCAAATGGATTTCCCACGAGGTGAGGGGGGGGAGCAAACGTTTAACTTAACTTCCTCTATATGAATTCAGAGCTGACAGAAAGGAAAGGCTATTAAATGTACTTGTGCAAATATCCCAATATTTGCATAACATGTGTTTTCAACTAAAGAGACCCCTTCTGTATTCCTACCATATAGGAAATCCCAAACTCTAAATATAACCAAGGAATGTGACTGATCTGAGCCTGGCAAAATTACAATGCTTAAAAAAACAACACCAGAGTGTTCATATGAACATGTGTAACTCACAAAAGCCATCTTCCTTTTCAGGAAGGGTTATAAAGAGTTACTTCCACTTGGATCCTGTTATCCAATCCCTTCTGTGGTCCTGGGTTTTTCTCGGTTGTTGTAGCTAGCAAGTCCTCCTTAAATTGTTCTGCCTTAGTGACTACCATTCCAAACTTCCCTCCCCCGAGGGACTCCCCTGACAGAATTCTTCTTTCTGTACTCACACAAATAAGACCAGAAGAGATGAAAAGCCCTGGGGATGCAGTCAGTGCAGGTCTCGAACTGACCAGCTGCTAAGCACAAGCTGAATTTCTCTGCCTCTCTTCACGTGGCCGAGTTCCACTCTTGGCTCAGGGTTAGTGATCTTGCATGGCATAGGAAGCTTAGGACCCAGGGGGCGCCTTTCAGCCGAAAAAAACACCTCGCTGCAAAAGCTAGCTGGGAAGCTCCCAGTTCTGAAGAGAGGCTGTTTACCAGAAGAGCATAACAAGGGCAGGTCCGACTGCAAGGCTGGAACCCTCCTACAGAGCTGCCGCTGAGGGGACCCCGGTTGGTCAATCACCTGCAAGATGAAGGTGGTGAGGATGCTGCTGGCCTGGGTGCAAACACTCCTTGTCAGCAACACGCTCCTAGTTAAAGCCTATGGATCTGGAGGTAAGATTACAATCTTTCCTTTCTGCAGCAACTTAATGAAGCGTAGAGGGTAAAGCTCCTATTACCCCAGCATGGCTAGGCTACACAGGAAGATGACAGGAAAGGGAGCTTTTAGTTGGTTTCTGTTGTCCCTTGTAAGGTTTTTTTGTTTTGTTTTATTGTTTTTCTTTTCCTCCTTTTTCCCCTGCAAGGGGCTTGCAGCTCCATCTTTGCCATTAAGAACAAAGGCTAGTAGCTACTTTCTCTTTCCTTTTCCTTGCCTGTGGGCTCAGGAGTGGCTGGAATTTCGGGGTTCATCTCTCCTACTCCCCAAGTCCTGTCCTTTTCTAGGCTCTGCACGATGCAGCCAGACTTAGCCCTCCTTCTGCAGCCTCTTCCATGGCTCTCCCGCAGAGGGTAGTGGGAGTTTGGAGTTACATCTAGGCAGCAGATGACGCAGGTCCCCTCCGTTTGAGGCTCTCTTTTGCCTGAGTCAAGGCTTTTGCAGAATTCTCTCAGGAAGGTATGTTCCCTAGGAAGTGTGGCCCTGTCTGTGGAGAGGGAAACACCAGAGTTTATGTAACATGGAATCACAACACGGGGATGAATTTCAGGCCTGGCTGCCCATCGAACCAAACACCCAGGTCCTCTCTGCACTCTCCTCCATGAGGGCCACAAATTCCAGGACTGCAACCCTTAGCACTTGTGCGTTGCTTTCCGGCAAATAAATAAATAAATAAATAGATAGATAAATAAGGCTGTGTTCCAGGCACCGGCAGGGTTTTCCACGCGAGTCAGGGAATCCCAGCAGGGTTCAGGGTCTCCCCCCAGCTCAGGTGGCCCAACAGTGTTTGGGGGGCTCTTCTTTCTCACAGGCTGCTTCTGGGACAACGGCCACCTGTATCGAGCGGACCAGCCCGTCCCCGCGCCAGGCCTCCGCTGCCTCAATTGGCTGGATGCTGACAGCCCCCTGGCCTCTGCCCCCGAGTCGGGTGAGTGTCCGCTCTGGGTCGGGGGCGGGTAGCGGCCGTAGTCCCGGCCCGGGCCCGTGGCGCCTTCTCTCCCCACCAGGCGCCGGCAACCACAGCTACTGCCGGAACCCGGACCAGGACCCGCACGGACCCTGGTGCTACGTCAGCGGCGAGGCCGGCGTCCCGGAAAAGCGGCGGTGCGAAGACCTGCGCTGCTCAGGTACCGACCCGGGACCCCCCGGCTCCCCGAGACCGAGGCTGTCTGGGAAGGGACGTTACGGTTGGTTACCGCGCACGTGCGGCTGCACCTCGCCGGCCGGCCCCGCCCCATGCCCTGCGGTCCGATTGGCCAGGACTGTCTCCGGGCCGCGGGATCCCAAGCTCATTGGCCGAGGCCGCTCAGAATGAGCTCATCCTCCTCCAGCACCTTGTAAACAACTGAAAGAGGCGAGGCCCAGCCCCTGGGCTGTGAGCCCCCCAATTCTGAGCACTCTGAAGGGTGGCCTTCGGAGGCAGCAGGGAGTCTCAGGGACCCGTGTCCGGGTCCGAGGCCATTACAGTGCCCCTTGTATAAGCTGTTTGAGGGCCTCAGAAAAGTTAAGTGACTTACTGAGGCAATGGCAGGGTTCAGATTTGAGTACAAGTGTTTTAGATTCTCCAGTGCAGGCTTGTTGGTCCCGAGGCAGCAAGACAGTTTTTCTAGAATTCAGTGGAATATATAAACATATAACGTAGCAATTGGCACAGAGCGTGGGCTCAATAAATATGAGCTGCTCAGAGGAGTTGTGATTGATATTTGGAGAAGATGGCAACTGAATTGAACCTTGGAAGACAGGAAGGATTTGAGCAGATGAAGATGGGGAGGCAGGAGAGGCCTTTCTTATGGCCCTCCCCTTACATTTATTTGCCTTGTCCCAGCTATGGGGTGGCACTCTTTGGCTTGGTCTTGCCCTTGGGGTAGGGCTTGATTTCTGTAAGTGTGGGTGGATCTAAGGTGGATCCTCAACTCCCCCAACACTATAGACAAGTTCAGCTGTGGAATTCACTGAGGCCACTCTAACGAGAGCTGTTTCCCACTTCGCCTCCAGAGACTTTTTCCCAGGACCTGTCAACCTCCAGGACAGAAACTGAGGCGACCCCTGAAGTGCCAAGTGGAGATGAGGTGCAGGTGTTTGCTCCTGCCAATGCCCTGCCTGCCGGGAGTGAGGGGGCAGCGGTGCAGCCAGTGATTGGAATCAGCCAGCGAGTTCGGGTGAACTCCAAGGAGAAAAAGGACCTGGGAACCCTGGGTAGGACTGCTCTACCTGCCCTTACTGGATTCATGAGGAAATATTTGCTGATTGACTGGGGTGAGGCTAACGGGGCCTTGTGTCCTGTCCTCGGCAGGCTATGTGCTGGGTGTTACCATGATGGTGATCATCGTCGGTGTCGGAGCTGGCATCGTCTTGGGATACACCTTCAAAAGGTCAGTAGCTTCTCTTCCGGGCTCCCTCAGAGGAGGGGAGAAAGGTACACAAAGTGAAGACAGATTCTTTTGCAGCATTCTTACCCAAAAAGAAAGGTGTTGAAAGAGAGAAGCCAGCTCAAGATGTAGAAACTTGGTTCTAGCCTTTACCCAGTGACCTAGGACAGACCCTTTCCCGTGGTGTTTTTGCTCCTTACCCCAAATTCTTGTGAGGTAGGGGTTCTTGTTCCCCATTTTACAGGTGAGGAAACCTTTGTCAAAGAGGTGAAGTGACTCACCCAAAGTCACACTCTGGGAGTGGCAGGACCTGGATTCAAACCAAGCTTTTTTGACACCAAATTCCCTGTGTCTTATCCAGTGTGTCTGATGCAGAAATGGGTGGCACTGCAGAAATCAGGCTGGAGACTCGTTGTGGGGACCCAGAGATTGAACTTTTGGGGGGAGTTATAAAGTTTTGCTACAAGAAGAGAAACCTACCCACTACTTTTGCTTGGGGTTTGAATTTCCTGAGCCATAAGTCTGTCCTCCAGGAAGAAGAAAAAAAGTGAGTTGTAGGACAAAGAGCCTATTTACTGCTCCTCACCATATTTCAGAACGCCAAGGAGGCTACCTGGGCATCTCAGGGACGGAACCTGCTGCTGGGACAGCAGGAGAAGGAATGCTTATTTTGAGAGGGGCCCTGAGATACCATGTGGAAAAAGCTATCGAGGTCAGTGACAGGTGTATGATGATAAGCCAGAGTTGCATTAACTTTTTACAGGACTGTCTGACTTTGGAAAAATGACTTGCCTTTCTTGGGCAAAATCAGGGGATTTCACTTCCAGCCCTTAGTGTGATTTTTCTCTCCATGGTCTGAGAAGGCTTTTTGTAAGGGATGTGACCTGGTGGCCTGTGTTTTCCAGTGTCCAGGGCCGTGTCTGAGCCCATAGCTCCAGTGGGTCACGCAGCATGAAATAAATCTAAAGTGTCCTTAGAGGTGATACAGTCAACCTCCTCATTTTATAGGTGAAAAAGAGGACGTGTTTGGTGGTAATAACAACAAACAACAACAACAGAAGTAGGGAACCTATGCTGGACACCGCTTCAAGCAGTTCTCACACTTGAACTCAAGTCTCACAGTCACCTTTCTGAGGCAAATGCTGTTATTATTCCCAGTTTACAGATTAGGAAACAAGGCAAGAGAGGATATACACCTTGCCTGAGGTCACATGCCTAGCATTTGGTGAGGCCAAGTCTTCACCAACTACCTGTCCACCACTACCTTCCTGTCTGCGTGACTTTGGGCAAGATGCTGCTATTTCCTACTCCCCAGCATTGCTGTGGGGAGAGCATGTGACTGCTTAGTTCAGTGATCATAAATGACAGTTGTTTTTCTTCTCTGTAAAATGTGGGTATTATACTAGAACCCACCAAGCCAAGCCCGCTTCCTTCTCTGTTTTTCTATGATTCAGGAAGCGAATTTGACCTGAGAGGGTCTCCTGAGTCCCAGTCCAAGGTTTTTGCCCCCAGTGAGATGGTGGAGGTGACAGGTGCGGGGACGGCTGCGTGTTCATTTCAGAGGTCGATGGAATGCTGTGGCCCTGGCCTGCAGTTCGGAATCAGAACCAAACCATATTGGCTGAGTTGAGCCCTCCTTTCTTAGCCACTGGGTAGCAGTGGACTCTCCTCCAATCCTGTGACAGTTTCCAGGCCTGTAGGTACTTGAATTGGCTAAACCTTCTTCATTCAGAGTTCAGTTCTCCTGCCAATGAGGAAGTCAGGCCTTTCTGGTACATTGGCTCCTCCAGGCTGTCATGAGACTGAATTTACCTTCCTGTACAGGGCAAGACACCTCATCATGAGACTCCCCATCGCTCACCACCTGACTCCTCCTTTCCTCACAAAAGTACTCGAGTACAGACCATAGAACAGGAAACCATATGTGGGCTGAGCAAGCTGTACCCCACCCTCAGAGATTAGAATGCCCTGGCAAGAGCTGTCGAGTGCGATACTCTGCACCTCAGTTTCTTGCCTGTTAAAAGGGGATATATCCCTGCTCCACACACACCGCACCAACCCTGCACCCACTTTCACAAGATCATTGTCATGAGTGCATGTAAACAGAAGAGCACCAGTCAGGTTAAACAGTTGCAGAAGCAGCCAACGTTCACCTGTTTCTGAAAGAGTAAGGCTGTACTGAATGCTCTCCCCTGACAATCCTGTCTAGGCCTCATGACCACACTAGAAGGATCACTTTTACACAGTTTTACCCTGAGGAGCTGAGACCTAGAGGAGTTAAGTGCAGTGTCCCAGCTACATGGCTAGAAGGTGTGTCTAAGGATTATCAGTGTTTCTCGAAGGTCCAGAGAGACTCAGTAGTTTCATGCAAATTTGCCCCGAATTGCAAAGGATGGTAGGAAAAATAGAAACATTCAACATAAAACAGCGGGGTTTAGAAGTCAAAAGAACCAGGGTCTAGGTCTGGAACCGCTCCCGATTCTGGGGGTGACACTGGACAAGCCATTTACTTTCTCTGGTTCTGTCAGAGTTTCTGCCTCTTTAAAATGGTGTAGGGGCAGGAGTTAGCTGTGATGATCCTCCCAAGCTCTAGTATCTCCTAAAATGTCTGTGACCTGCTGGTGGCTGCAGGCACTACCAGGTTCAAATCCCCGCTCTGCCATTTGCTTGAATAAATGATTTAACCTCTGTGCCCCTGCCTTCCCATCTCTGAAAGACAGGTCCTAACAGACAGCATACATATGGGTCTGCTGTGAGGATGAAATGATACAGTGTAGTTTGGGTGCACAGTTGGCATCGAGAACCTCAGCTGCCTTGGGGAACTTTTCCTGAGCCCAGTGTGGGGACAGCACTGCTTCCGACCGGGAACACAGTGGTGGCTCAGAGTTACGGAATAATTGAAGAGACCCGTGTTGCCCTCAGGAGGTCTGAGGTATCTCCACCCACCCTGCCCCCTTCCCAAAGAATATCTTCATCCTCACCTGCTCTCTCTGGGCAGCACAGCTCCTGAACCTGGCTGGCCCTGGAGCAGTCAGGGATAGAATTACTGCAAGCCTTGAACTCTGCCAAAAGGCCAGGAGGCTGATGGGATGGAGCTTCCCCCCTGGCTGGGAAGAGCAGAGCAAGCAGGCACCACGCTTCCTCTCAGGGGAAGAAGGGTGGCAGGTGGGGGTGGGTAAGGGCTTAACGTGGCAGGTCTCTGTTCTGGTTGTCGAGGCCACAAGGCCAATCCTCAGCTCCCCGTTCCTGCCCCAAGTGTAGTGTCTGTGCCAGCTAGCTCTGGAGGGAGCGCTTGTTTTCTGATTTTTAAAAAAAAGGCAAGGGAAAAACTGTAAGTCAACACCATTCTACTCCCTTAGGAGAGGAGCTGAGCCAGTGAATAGGCCTTTTGTTGTATCTTGGCTGCCAGACAACAGCCTGGCTGCCCCCTCCCAACCTCCACCCCCACCAAAGGAAAGGGAGAAAGGACGGAGCTGCCTGATGGTCAGTGCAGCAGACCTGGTGGCCTCTCTGAGACCATCAGGAGAGCTGGGGGCAGCCACTGCATCTCCAGGACTCACAGGCATTGGTTACAGGGGGCACTTGGGGTTGGGTGTGTTCCGAGGCTTCCAGATGGATAAGGCTAGAATCCAGATGAGTCCCAGCACCTGCTTCCTTTACCCTCGTCTGCTCTTCCAGCCCTGCTCTGCCCCATTCATGGGCAGTCTTTTTTGCCCCCTGAAGATGTGTGTGCTGCACCCTAACCATTATCAAAAGTTCAGCTGGCCACAGGCAGATGTTTGTTAGAGGAGGTTGCCGAGGAAAGCAAAGTCTCAGCTTCTTCATCTATAAAATATGGATACTACCTTGCAAAGTTGGTGTGGAAATTGAACAAAGGTGGTGCATGTATAAAGTGTGTGGCACCCAGTAGGTCCATAGGTAGCTCTTCTCATTTTGGATGATGGGGAGGCCGTTTCTTGGCACTTTGGTAGGTACTCAGGAAGTACCCTCTTCCTCCAGACCTTTAGGTTTTGAAATTGGGGCCTGGGCAAAGTACGTGCATGCTCCACTTTTGTAAATTCCTTTTTGGTCTTCTGCTGGCTTGGGGGGTCCCTTCATAACATTAAACCCAGACCTTCGAAGTTTCTCCCTGCATGGGTGAAACTGGCTTTTTGTTTTACAATGGAGGTAGGTATTTCCTTCTATGTGTCAGCAGCTGCAACTGATGGGCAGTGCTCAAGGGCAAAGTGAATCTCAGGCTGTGAGTGAGGATGCACTTGGTCCAGACGACCCTCTCTCCATGTCCCTCCATTTCCCCTGCAGGTGCTCCGGGCGTTAGTGATGTCCTGTGCAGAGGCCAATTCGAAGGATGAGGCAGGAATCTTACTTAGGCTTTCACTTTCAGAAACTCAGTGACCCTGGGAGATTTGCCTTCTGTGACCTTACAGTGAGGACTGGGGCATCGGGGCACGTATCATGCGAGAGATCTCACAGAATGTTAGGGGCCTGGAGGGAACCCAAGTCCATCTCCTTGTTATACGGATGATGAAATGAATGCCCAGAGAGGAAGGGAGTTGTTGAGGTCATGTAAACAATACTTGCCTTGGCTGGTCAGTAGGAAAGTTTCCTTGGGAAATCACATTAAGATAACGTTGGTTGGTGAGTCCAGTCATATTCAGGGCAAATCATAATAACCTCTGAGTTAATTTTTTGTATTGATTCCAGAGAGACAGGAAGAGAGGGAGAGAAACATCAACTGGTTGCCCCTTCCTGGGGGCGATGCCCTGACTGGGGACCAAACGCAGAGCCCAGGCATGTGTCCCGATGGGGCATCGAATTCGTGACCTCTCAGTTTGCCGGGTGACGCCCAACCAACTGAGCCACACTGGCCAGGGCCTTCTATGAATTTTACAGCAGTTCCACTGTTTTCAAAATGCTTTCACTTTCATTATCTTATTTCAAGATAGATATAATCCTCATCTCGCAGATGCGGGAGCCAAGGCTCAGAGAGGCTGTTTTGCCGAGCTGATACTAGAACATTAGAGAACTGGCTGAAGACAGTTGCGAGGCACCTGTACACTGCTTCCTTTCCAGCCCATTATTTTCTCAGTATCCTTCTCCAGTCTCTTGTCATTGCACCTCACATCACGAAGGGTGTGCAGTCCATCAGATCTCAGCCATCTCCCCTGGGGGTTTGGAGGAAGGAAGCAGGCCTGTGTTGCATTGAGTCATCCATCGGTGTTCATCTATAAAATGAACACTGTCTGTTGCAAGGCCCCTTTGGGCGGAAGGGGGCTCCTTCCAGGAAGATTTCTTCCGACAGCTGAGCCTGTGTGTCTGGGTGCTGGCTTTGGAGGGTGCTGACCTAAGTCCTGGGTGCAAGTCCTGCTGTGCAGTGTTCTAGGCACTCACCAGACCCTGTGGCTACAATATGCGGGCAGCCCGGTCCAGTGGGGAGGGCCCTGTATGTGCAGCCAGAACATTGGGTTTGAGTCTCTGCCCCCCCATTTCTTTGGGGGTGACCCTGATCAGGTCTTAACTTCTCTGAATATCAGAGTCTAGCAGACTTTGGTTTGAGCCCACCATGTGATTCCTTAACTTCTCTGGGCTACTTCTTCATCTATAAAATGAACACTGAGACCTAGTTCCTCGGGTTCAGCTGAGAATGAAGTGCTCCACGTGAGTAAACAGGGCAACACCAGCCCTGACTGGTGTGGCTCAGTGGATTGAGCACCGGCCTATGAACCAAAGGGTCACCGGTTCGATTCCCAGTCAGGAACCATGCCTGGGTTGTGGGGCCAGGTCCCCAGTTTGGGGCACATGAGAAGCAACCACACATTGATGTTTCTCTCCCTCTCCTTCCCTTCCCCTCTCTCTAAAAAAATAAATAAATAAATAAAATCTTTAAAAAAATAGGGCAACACCATGCTGACTGGGTCACTAAGCACTATGAGAATTCAAAGGTGTGTGACCCCTAAGGGGTCTGATGGTCATTGTCTTGTTTCCCACTGACCTCAGCAGCCTTCAGAGTCCTTTTTGCCTTGTGCGTGGGTTGGGGACAGTCTGTTTCCAGCTGGGACTCACACCTTCTGGGACTTTAGAATAACTAGAGGACTGTCTCAGGACAGGGTGGTCAGGGAAGTTTTCTGGACTTCATGGGTGAGGGCTGATAGTTCCCTGGGTCTCTTGGAGTCCTGGGCTGAAAGAACAAAACTGTGTCTTGCTTTAAGAGTCTCTTCCACGTTCCCTTCCTTGAGCCCCCGTGCAGCTCGGTGAGGTTCATATTTACTATTAGCCCCATTTTACAGAAGAGGAAAGATACCAGAGGTGTAGGAGCGGTTGGGTTAGGGCAGTCTGGCAGAACAGAAATCCAGCCTTATCAGCCACTGATTCTCCGTGACCGCAGCACGCTCCTGCCCTGCCCAGCCTCCGAGATGCTCTCTGATAAGCAAAGTCCTACAGGAGGCACAGCCTGAGTGCCTCCCTCTTTTCTTGCCAGGGGGAAGGACCTGAAAGAGCAGCATGACCGGAAAATGTGTGAGAGAGAGATGCAGAGAATCACCCTGCCCTTGTCTGCCTTCACCAATGCCACCTGTGAGATCGTGGATGAGAAGACTATTGTGGTCCATGCCAGTCAGACGCCGGTCGACCTTCAGGAGGGCAGTGCCCCCCTTATGGGACAGGCAGGCACTCCTGGGGCCTGAGCACCCCCACGATGGGCAGGAGCCCATGCAGGGACTGGTGCAGGGTGGCCTACCCTCCTACAGCTGGGAGGAGCTACACTTTTTGTTGTGGTTAAAACTCTCCCCTGAGGTGTTTTTTTTTTTTATTGTTCGTTTGTTTTGTTTTGGGGAACTCCTAAGACAGAAAGAAGCAGGTGGTGCTGTGGGCTGTGGGCTGAGGGGCAAAGATGGGTAGGGTCCCACCAATGCTCTTTCTCCATCCCTTGGAGCAGGGTTTTGCCCGTGGATGGAGACAGTGGCAGCCCCCATAGCAGTGCTGCTAACAAGGGCTTCCAGACATTGCCTGTGCCCCGGAACTGAATCAGGGATGGACCGGGAGCTCCCCCAGGCTCCTTTGTGCTTCATTATCTAAGGTGGCCTCATTCTCCACCTTTCTGTTTGCTCTCTGTGGGCTTACGTGGCGCACACTGTTACTCATCCTTCAGGTCAAGCAGGTCAAGAGGGAGCATTTAAAAATATATATTTCATTTAAAAGTATTTGGGATGGAACTCCCTACTGACCTCTGAGAACCCAAAATGCGTTTGTACAAGTCAGACCTGTGGTTTGAGAATGGGATCGAGGCTGGGGTTTACTGGGTGAGCTCCAGCTCGCTGGCAGCAATGTGCCTTGACGAGAATGGGCCGGGCCTGGGCCCAGGGACTCTTCCTGCCTCAAAAAGGAAGAACTGCACTGAACATTCCACTTAGGAAGAGGGGAGAGAAGGATCCGCGACTGCCTTAGGCCACAGGACATGAGGTGGACCTGGGGTACCCCAGTCTCTCTCCAGGGTGGACAGTGACCTCTCTTCATTTTGTAGGGACAACAGTCAGCTAACCTACAGGAATCATACTTTGGGGCCTTGTGAGCTGCTTCTGAGAGGTTAACCTGGAAACTAAGCTCAGAAGCCAGGTAATCAAGTGCTTCAGCACTTGCCCCTGCAGTGGCCTGAGTTTGTAGGTTGCTCTGTGGCTTCCAGGCCAGTACCTTCCAGTGAAGGCACTAGAGCTGGGGCCCAACCCCTAACTTGCAGAAGTTAGAATCATTGGAAGGGATCTTAGGGTTCCTCAAGCCTTTTTGACAGAGGGGCCCAGAGGGGGAAAGTGACACCCGAGATTATAGAGAAAGTCATAGGCACGGCCAAGGCGAGTCCGTTTCCCCGTGCCCACAGCTCAGCAGGGCCTCCAGGTCCTGGTGTCCCACTTGGAGGCCTTAGCAATGCTCCCTACCCAGAGTTTTCTCCCCCAAAGCCCTTCTACTGCCCCATGTGGAGAGGGGGATCAGTGGGGACTATTCTCTTTAGCAGGCTGTTTACAGGGGCGACTTGCTGAGGGAACCTAGGCCTCGGGGGGTCCCTGGGTGTTAAGTGATGCTGAAGAGAATATTACTGGTTTCTACTTTTCTATAAAAGCCTTTCTCTGTGTACATGTCTTATATACCTCATTCTGACACCTGCATATAAAGTGCAGGAAATTGCTCTGCATTTGACTTACATAAATAAATTTTAAAAAAAGAAAGGAATCCACATTGCCGAGTTTTTGTGGGGTGTCAGGAACACTCCTGCCATTTGTTGGGAAGCTTTTGGTTACCTTGTCAGCACCTCTGTGGCCCTGGCTGTCACTGGGAGGTGGCAAAAAGCTGAATGGTTGGTTAACTGCAGTCATCACCAAGTCTTTCAGGTTGGAGCTGCAGCAGAGATGGGTGTGTGGGCGTCTCAATGGGCAGATCCTTTCCCCTTCCACATTCTCTCCAAGGTAGGAGGTTAAAATGAATGCCCAGGCAGCCCTCAGCTGGAGCTGGAACTGGTAGTGGGTGGTGGTGCTGTGGTAGCCAAAAGATAGGTGTGCAGAGAGGGATGAGCCCTTGGGCTTCCAGGAACAGCTCTGGGCTGGGGAAGGTCCCTGCAAGCAGCTGTGGATAGGAGTGTTTGCTGGACTTTGAGCAGGGAATTTCAACAACAGGTTCTCAGCTTCTGGGAACATGCAGAGTGGTCTCTGCCCAAGCCCAGACACTTCTCTCTAGATCTAACAGCAAAGGGCACCCCCAAGCATGTTTTTGTAGGACCCAGGTTCTGTCTTCAAGCTTTGAGTATATAGATTTATATTTGCCCAGGATAACCACTAACCAGATGGCAGCATCCCACCCCGCCCATTGGCCACCCCTCCACAATATCCCCTAAGTGCAGAAGCAAGAACTGTCTTTTGCTCTCAAGCAGTTGTAGGGAAACACAGGGGGTGAAGGTAACTTGCATTCATCTTTTTCCCCATTGTGAAGGTGATACCCAGCCCTGCAAAGACTCTAGGACAGGGCTCTCTAACCCACGGGCTATGGACTGGTACTGGTCCATGGCCTGTTAGGAACTGGGCCACACAGCAGGTGAGCTTGAAAGCCATGTACTTGAATCATCCCGAAACCACGCCCCCCCCATCCTGGTCCCCAGAAAAATTTGTCTTCCGTGAAAAAATTTTCCTGGTGCCGAAAAGGTTGGGGACAGCTGCTCTAGGATATCCAGGCGTTAGGGCTGTAGGTGGATTAGAGGGTGGGAGTGTAGGGACCCAAAGAAATGACTCAGCTGGAAGGTGAAAGTCAGCCCTGCTTCAAGGACTGGGCTGCCTCAGGTGGGATGTGCAACGTTCTCAAGAGCGGGCTGGTGGCTACATAAGGAAAGAGAATTAAAATTAGGGAGCATGAGAACTCCCTGCCATGGGGAGTCATGCTGGTCGTGACCAGACACATGTGGTGACCTGGACCTGAAGGTGGCCAGGAGCATTTTCTCCAGAAGGGAGCAGGGGAGGCCTCGCACTTCCAGGCAGACAAGCCAGCATTCGCTCCCCAGGTGTCTCCCCGAGCCAGGCCCCAAGTCACTTTCCACTCTCAGTATTCTCAGTTATTCACTGCTTAATTTATTTGGTCTGCTCAATGGTCCAACTTGGGCCCACCACTCCCACGTACGTTGGGGACAGCTGAGGCACAACCAGCCACATGGTGCTGACCTTGCTGCCTCTGCAAGCCCAGGGCTCAAACCTCACAAGCTTGCACACTCCATACATAAGCATGGTCTACACAGCATAGCCAGAGATGACAGCTAATCCCACAACTCATCAGGTCTATAAACAGTATTTCACATGTCACCCGACAGACAGAACAAGATAGTATTAACAACAACCAGTCTCCCAAATCATTCCCACCCCACCTCCTCCCTCCCACCCCCAATACAACCACCACACGCCGCAGTAATACCCCAAACCCATTCCCAATTTGTTAAATATGGCCTAAGCTCACAGATGCTTAGGAAGAGGCAAATCTATTTGTGTTGAGTCCCTGGAGATCTGGGAGCCAAGGAAGAGGGCACCCCCAGAGTTTTTCTGCACCCATGGCTGTGACTCAGGAGGCTGTAGCCAGGAGCTAGCGATGTGGGCCAGCCAGCAGGTGAAGCAGAAGCCAGATGGCCCAGTTCAGGGAGGTGTCTCTCCTAGCATCTAAGCTCTGGGACTCTTGCTACCACCTCTTTCCACCTAAGCTGATGCCTGAACCAGGGATGGGGAAGGGTGAGGAGTGGCTACCCCAAGGCCAAGAGACTGCTGAGATTCCCACTCCCCTAGCCTTATACACTAGGCCTGCGACAAGCCATACCATCCCCCAGAACTCATCTACGTCTAGGCAAAGTGTCTCAAGCTTCTGACTGAGGTGCCCACTGGAATATGAGTGACAGCAGCCAGGGTATGGGCTTTCTAGAGGGCAGGGCCTCTTTCCAGTGCCCAGCCTCCTCCTGCACTGTGGGTGGCTTCTTGCTGCAGGCAGAAAGGGTGCCAACCCAGAGATTCTCAGCCCGCCTCCAGCAGTATAGCTGGAGAGCACAAGATGCACACTGGCCCTGACCCTGACGTGGACTGGGAGGTGAACAGAAACCAGCCCTTCTCCCGACTCCTGGCCATTCCACCACAAGTTAAGGGACTCTTCAAAACCTACTTCCTTGACCCCGCCCAGGGGAGGGCAGCACAGGGAGCAGGAGGGTAGCACCACTGTCATTTCACATCCTTGGACTGCGGCCTGGCCACCAGTCTTTCTCTCAGCCGCACTACCACTCGAAGTTCTCCTGTCCTCAGCTGGACCAGACACTTCAGAGCCCAGGGGCCGATTCCCCCTGGAATCTTGCCCAGCAGGTCCAGATCACACTGACTAGCCCGGAATCCCGGAATCCCAGGGAGTTCCTGAGTGGTCACGAGTAACAGACTCCTCCTGACCCAGAAGCCAGGCTTTTTTTTTCTTCTTTTTCTTCACAGCTTTCAGGCGAGTGTTGCATTTATAGACAGTAACCAGGTCCCAAAACTTGTGGAGATGCACTTCCCTGGTGCTGTGCCCGCTCGCCTCCTGGGGAGGTAGTAGGGATGGCTTGTTCTGCTTCTAAACAAGGTGCCAATCCACAGGAAGCCAGGAGGGCCCTGCCCACAGCAGGGGGTTGGGCCAGGGCTAGGGGGGCGAGTCCCGTGTCAGGCCGTACTGCATGCTCACAGTGTGGTCCAGCTCCTCCAGCTCTGCAGGCAGTGGGATGCCCAGCTCCCCCAGGTACAGAGAGAGGGCCTCAAAGGAGTCCTCCAGTTTTGAGAATGCCGGCCTAGGAAAAGATGGGGTGAAATAGGTGAAATACGGGTAGGATCATGGGGTGGTATAGAAGGTCCCCAGGCATGTGACTTAACCACTTCCTAGGTGTGTGACCTCAGGCAAGTCCCTTAACCAGTGCCTTTGTGGGAAACAGCTTTGCTGTAAAGATTATAGATAACACTGTAAGGAGGCTGGCATGGTCTGGGGGTTAGTTTAAGAATAAAACTAAGAGTAAAAAAGCTCCTCCCATGTCTGGGAGACAAAGCAATCATCAAAGGTGGAATTGGACTAAGGGCCTTTCTAAAAGATCCTTTCCAGTCCTTGGACTGTTTCCACATCAATGGGTCTGCCTGGGAAAGGGCCTGTCAGAGGCTCAGCACCCTTCCCAAGGAGGAAGCGCACAGTGAGGTCCTGGTGCTGTGGAAGTAACCGAGCTGCCCTGGGACCCTAAGAAGACATCTCAGGCTTACTCCTCCGCCCCGTCCATGTTTTTACTTAAACATCTTCACCTTCTCAGCCCACTCTGATCGCTACACGTAAGCTTACAACTTGTATCCCAAACGACTGTCTTTCCTCAGCCGGACCCTTTGTGCGGAGCACTAGTCCCTTTCCAAAGTTCAGTCCGGTTTCTTCTCCCCGCTAGACCGTGAGTTCCAGAGGGCAGGGCATGTTTTTGTTCACCGCTGTCTCCCAAGGGCTCAGGACAGTATCTGGCATGTGGCAGGCACTCAGCAGGTATTTTAGACAGACATTTAGAATGACTGTCTCGAGAGAAGGGGTATTACCGAACAAATACCACGTAAATTCACATTTTTCCTCGTGCTCTTACTCGGGTGTTAGTAAGGGATTGTGGTCCTTTGGCCCATGAAGGAACAAGATATGGAGCCTCCTACCGGCCAATCCCGACTCTCCAGTGGACCTTAGGGAATCATTTAAAAACACAACTGATGTGCCTGCTGGTTGCCTTGGGGAGACGGAGTTAGGGAGTGAGGAGTGTGTGGAGGGGCACACTGATCAGATTACAGAAGAGGTATAGTTCCTGTGCTAGGCATTTCAGAAATGTTTGACTTTGTTTTTTAAAAGAAACATGATTTTTGATAGGGGAAAAAAGCACAAGATTCTAGTTTTGTAATGCCCAAAATTGAAAGGACCTGGGGAAACTTTGGTAATAATGAAAGCTATAACCTGAGAAAATTAAGGTAATTTTTTTCCTCACCCAAGGACATTTTTTTCATTGCTTTTTGAGAAAAGAGAGGGGGGGAGGGGAGAGAGAGAGAGAAACGATGTGAAAAAAGAACATCACCTGGCTGCCCTTTCCCACGTGCCCGAGTCGGGGATCGAACCCATAGCTTTTTGGTCAGGAACCACACTCTAACCAACTGAGCCGTGATGGCCAGGGCTACGGTGATTTTAAAAAGATTTCTTTAACAGAGAAAATTAGTTAAATGCATTAAGATGCTCAATGTAGTAACACTTACTGTAAAGAGAAACTGGAAAAACCTGAACATCTCTCTACATTACGTATATTATATGTTCAGGGAGCCTCTTAACAGAATTTCATGTAGTTAACAAATGATAAATAGGGAGGCTGGATGGTAACAAGGAAAATGCAGGGCAAAATATAAAATCTTTCTCTATTTGAGGTCAGAATCTAAAAAGTGTGTAGGTGGACATGGACAGGGGAATATGGAGACATGAAGACACTTAATTTGTTAGAATGGTATAGGTTTGGGTGAGTTCTGTTACAATTTCTTTTAATGGCTGTATCTCTGTTATACCCAGGACACTTTGCCACTATGCCCTCATGCTCCACCCCCAACCTGTCATGTCAGAGTTTTGGGGCACCTTGAGTGGCCAACAGCCACATCTTTGAGCTCAAGGCTTCTGCCACTCCTATGCCTGAGAAGGGGTTGGGGAC